ACACGATGAGAAAGAGATAGGCTGGGGCGAGTTCGGGAGTTGGCGCTCCCTGATGAATATGAAATTCGCCTACGCAGAGACCCCAATAAAATACGGAATGCGGCTGCGCGGTTCTGGAGCATTTCCGCCTCCCTGCGGGGCAGATTCAGAAATCGTGTTGAGTGTTTGTTGCACAGGCATCAGACAGGCATTAGTTGTGATATTTTGCGTATCGATAGCCAATTAAATGAGCGTTAAACTTTAAAAAAATCCACAGCAGTCGATGTGGAGCTGTTTGATTGGTTTTGAAGTGGATGTCAAAAACGTGGGGCGAAGCCGCGCCCATCTTTTTGTAGTGAAGCTTACTTACATTGGCGCTCTGAGAGAGCGATTGACCCCCCATTCGCCCACCCCCCTTCCCCTCCACCCCCCCCCTTCACTTCACAGCACAGCGGCTGCGGCCGTGCCCATCGGCCATGCAGAAGCCCGCGACGATGCCGGACGCGGCGACGCCGACGCGCGCACGCTCGCTGACGGAGACGATGGCGGTGGCCGTGTTCGTCGCCGTCGCCACGGCCACGGCCTTCTTCATGTTCGGCTCGGCGCGCGACGTGCCGGCCTTCCACTCGCAGTTCACGCGCCACCTCAAGCACCTGCGGCGGCTGTCGTCGCTGGGGCCGGCCGCGGCGCACAAGCGGCTGCTGTTCTACAACCGGCCGCCCAAGACGGGCAGCACGACGGTGCGCGTCGCCATGCGGCACGCGCTGGACGACGCCGGCCTCGTCTCGGCGCACTGCTTCAACATGATCGAGTGGAACGAGATGGGGTGGCGCACCATCGTCAAGCGCCGCCACGTCGACTTCTACGGCTGCCACACGCGCCTGATCCGCGAGCGCTACTTGGACATCGCCGACATGCGCGGCGGCAACGTCACCTTCATGACCAGCACGCGCGACGCCGGGAACATCATCTTCTCGGCCTACCTGCAGGCCAACCGCGACAAGGACTTTGCGTCCATCACGGACGCCGACCAGATCGCGCGCGAGGTCCGCCGCTACAAGGAGCACGTCGCCGCGTACCCGGTCAACGCGCTGTACACGTACCACGGCGCGGGCGTGCCGCTCACGGAGTGCCCGTACGAGTACGCGCACGAGGACGCCATGCGCAAGGTCGCCGAGCGCTACGAGATCGTCATCGACTTGGAGCGGCCGCACGAGTCGGCCGCGCTGGTCGAGGTCGTCACCGGCCTCCGCCCGGACTTTACCGTCAAGTACAACGCGCGCACGGACGACCTTTCTAGCCCCATGCTCGCCGCGCTGGCCAAGGTCGACACGTCCAGCCGCAGCTGCGGCAACGCGCTCGTGCACAAGGTCCTCATGCAGCAGTTTAATATCATCAAGGACCGGTTGATGCAGAACCGCTGCTTTGAGGAGCTTACCGGTACTTTTGAGCTGTGCGATAAGACAGCGCTTACGACGGAGACCGTGATTGAGAGGAATCGCGACGAGTCGTTTGACGAGCGAAACCGCCTTCGGGCTTTGGAGGCGGAGGCTGAGGTGGATGAGGACCGATGAGGAAAAAGGGGAAGGGGAGGATGGGGGGGAAAAGGTGTCGCTTTTTTTTTTATAACTGTACAGATGATAGCAACACGATTTAGCCAAGCTCTCGTCGGGGTCGTGTCCCGCCGGCGGAGGGTGTTCGCGGTGTGGTGTAGTGTGGAGTGGGGCGTAGAGCGGTGTGGAGCGGTTCGGTGTGGTGTGGCGTCCGTCTGGTGTGGGGGTGCGAGGCCGCAATTTTTCTGTCATATATATGCACGTCGGCATGGAGCTAACTCGGTGCGGCAACGCCCGTAGCAAAGCGCGGTACCGAGAGCAGCGGGCATCGGCACGGCACCGGGATGCGCACGCCGTTAAAACGAGGGATCTTGTACTTGTACACCTGATCACAGCAATTAACCTTGGTCTATATATTAACCTGGGTTCAGAAATAAACTGGACCAGGTTATTATTGGTTTTGACCTGGAGGAAACAGTCTTATGATAAGTCGCCTTTAGAGTTCAAAAAGGGCGAGAACGCATGTCGCCGCCTCGATATGGTCTTTGGGAGGAGAAGCAGCTCTTTTCTGAGCTGCAGACAATAATATCCGAGCATCGTGTCCATTTCAATGGGCAAGAAGTAGAGCCGTAATTTCTTGAATACTTGTCAGCAATGTTAGAAATCAAGGTTAATCCAGTGGTTCACAAATAAACTGGACCATGTTATATCTGATTTGACCATATATTAATCTGGGTTCACAATTAATCCGGACCATGTTAAATATGGTTATAGACCTGAAAAAGGGGCTTCAGAATTAAGTTGGCCCAGGTTAATTGCTGTGATCAGTGTAGTACTTGGGACTTGTCCTTGTGTTGTTTGCATGGTCAGGGAATTGTCTTGCGGACATCGCAGCCTGTTTGCAACAGCAATGGCAGGGGGGGGGCCGGCACGGGATCTCGGTGGCGCGGCGGTGGGGGGCGGTGGCCCGCGGCCAATGCCGCGCCGCGCCTTGTGCCCCTCGTGGCCCCCTCAATATGGGAAATTCGAGACCATCAATTGTGGGGGGGAGAGATCCCGTACTCGGCCCCCTCGCGCCGGTCGACCACACGTGCACGCGACCAAACTGATCCGTTCCGCGCCTTGTGATCAGCGAGCCCCTCCTGCCCCGTACAGTATACGCCCGCGATTTCATTAAATCATGTTTTTGCGCGCAATTGCGCGCAAAAACTGCCAGATAATGCTGCAAAATGAAAAACTCACCACTTCGGCCTTCTTCGGGCGACCCACCGATAATCGCGATCAACCATCGAAATCGAGATCCCCCATGCCTTCCTAGGGTCCCTGTAGCCCATCTCCATGCAGTGTCTCCCATTGTCTAAAGTCGTTTCTTCATGAAGAATCATGAAGTTTCTCAGTTTCTGCATGAATAAACAAGCAAAAAGCAAAAATGAAAAAACAACCCGAAATCGCGGGTATACGCCATCGTCATGACCATACACTGCCGTTAGCATACGTGTAAAATACCGTACCCTTGGTACGTGAAACATAAAAACAAAAAAGGGGCCCGTCGCCCCCGCCATTCGCGTCCGTGCGCACGTGGATCGCCCCGCTGCACCTGCAGCCGCAGCCGTGGCGGAATCCGGCCCCCGAGAATACAAATACACTCTCCGCACGCCGAGGAGGCGAGTGTCGCGCGTAATCCATGTAACCCATGACGGGACGAAGGAGGGGCGCGCGCGCAACCCCCCTCCCCACCATTACCGCCAAGCTGTCATCACGGCAAGCACGCGCGGAGATTGCGGTGCCCAGTCTGCCGCTCTCTCTGCACGTCACCAACAAAACAAAAACAAAAATTCCCGCCTCGTCCACGCGCGAGCTGTCGTGTCGTGTGCCATGTGTCGTGTGTCAATGCCATACGATGCCATGCATTGCATTGCATTGCATTTGCAAAAGCATCGGGTCGGTCGCGCACGCGGCCCGGCGCTACCTCTCCTCCCAGTGGCGCTCCTCATCGGACGTGACGGGGCTGTCGTACTCCTCGCGGGCGGCCTCCACGCCGGAGGCGTCCGTGACGCGCGGCTTGGCGCGCGCCCACTTGGCGCGCGCGAAGCAGAGCAGCTTTTTGAGCGACGAGGTGGACGCGGGGCTGTCGGACGACGCGAGGTCGGACTCGGGGAGGCTGAGGTCGAAGGCGTCGTGGGAGAAGTGCGCGCGCGCCCCGCCCGGGAGGAACGGCTCGGGCGCCATTTCCAGGTCGTATGCGTCGTCGATCGCGTCGCGCGCGATGCGCGCGAGCGAGACCGGCCGCAGGCAGCACCGCAGCACTACCAGCACCACGAACAGCCCGCCCAGGATGGAGCCGAGGAGCACCACGCCCGCGATCCGCCCCTCCTCGGAGAGCAGCCCCTCGATGCTGTGCTGCTCCTTCTTCGCGTCCACGTCGAAGTACAGCCCCGGGCCCGTGACTTCGTAGATCACCGCGCTCGTGGTCAGGACGTGCAGCGCGCTCTTCAGCGCCTCGTAGGGGTTCTCGAGCCGGACGGTAAAGTGCATCTTGAAGCCGGGGAAGCCCGCCTCGGATTTGTTGTGGTACTCCCACACTTTGACCTCCTCGCGGGACACGTTTTCGGGCTCATGAAACTTGAGATCTTCCTTCATCTCCATACACGTGCGGGGCGCCGACTCTCGGTCGCAGTTCCACTGCATGGCCGTATACATCATATATTTCTGCAGGTAGGTGCAGGACTCGGCGTGTCCCTCGACGGTGTCGAATAGAATAGCCTTGGACACGCCCGACTGGCCCTTCATAAGCAAGGCCCTCTGGCTGACATTGAACCAGCCCAACTCGTCGCCATTGCCATACAGGACAGTATGGTCGCTCCCCGCGCGGTGAAACCAGCTGCTGACGTTGACCCAGGTAGCTTCGTCGTCCACGCTGGTGAGCGCGGCGGTGGTATTGCGCATGACGCAGGCGCTGAGCGTGTACTCCCTGGTCTGGTTGCTGTGCATCATGCTCGGGGTGATGCAGGTCTTCTCTGCGGTGACCAGGTCGATCTTGGACGCGATGTCCAGGCTGGTGCCCGCCGGCTGGACGCCCCTGAGGTTGTACTGGGACTCGCTGGAGTACACGCGGTACGGCTGTGTGAGGTAGACGGCGATGACCTCTGCGGCGAGCAGGGCGGCGGCGACGCCGAGGATGAGCAGCGAGCGGACCGCGACGCCGCGCGTGGCCGAGCGGCCCCTGGCGCCGTGGCGCGCGCGGACAAAGGTCCAGACGTTGCGGAAGTGGCTGACCTGGTCGAGTGCGTACGCGGCGCGCACGCCCTCGCGCGCGGGGCGGGAGCGGGCCGCGGCGCGGCGCAGCAGGACGGTCTGGACGATCTCGGAGAGCAGGGCGATGAGCAGGACGCTGATGATGCCCAGGACGAGGTCCTCCTTGGCGCCGCCGAAGGAGCGGTGCGCGAGCGGGGCGACGCGCAGGTCGGAGCGGACGCGGAAGTCGGCGTTGCCGAAGACGTAGGCGCCCGCCTCCGAGCCCGACGACACGTTGACGAAGGAGGGCGGCGCTGCTAGGTGCGACACTAGCAGCTCGGAGCTCGGCATGTTGGACGCATTGACTTTCTCGCGGGGCGGGGCTAATGGGGGCCGCTGGAGGG